TAATATGTTATTCTCCAGACAACAATAAGCGACACGTATTTTTTATACGTGCCCATACGCACTTTTAAGGGGTGAAACATCCTTTAGAAGAAAATCGGTTTTTCTCTTTCGAAGCGGATATCGTCGAAAGTGTAAGAGATAGAAAAAAATATTTGAAATAAAAGTTTCATGGTTTCAAGAATACTTTATAATACAAAAGAAAAAAAAATTTTTTTAATTTTGTTTGTTTATCCCCACTATTTAACTTTTTTTTAATTTTGATTTTTTTTATAATAAAAAGAAAGGTTATTTTAAGACGAATTCAGCCATGTGTGATAAAGTTATTTTCTAAAGTACCATTTTTGAGAAATAATTAAAAACATCTCTGTACTCACGCCATTCGTACTCCTTCACGCAGCACGTTCGTGATGTTGCGTATTTTCGCATAAACAGGAAGCAACGATGTAATTACATCTATTTTTGGAACTCTGCGGACATCTAGTCATAGAAATTTTCATCACGCACGGCTGAACAGCAGTTGCGTAACGTCTGGATTAATATCTTGTCAAATCGTATTTCTTTATTTAAAGTAAAGGAGGGGAATCGAAGAAAATTAGAATTGATGTAAATAATCAATGATGTGATTGAGCGCATTCCGCTCACGCATCATTTATCTCTTACCTATTATATATGAAATGATAAATAAAGGAAAAAATAAATAATACTGTTACGCTCGTACACCACACACACACACACACACACACACACACCGTTTCGGTTTGTCAAGCAATGATATAAATATTATCGCTTTGGGGGCATTGATTTTATTAGTAAAACATTAGTGGAATAGTGCATTTGCAGTATCTATTAATAATAATTAGGTAACATGGACGTTCCTTGTACTGCTTGTGACAAGCCTCATCAGCTGAAAGTATGTTATTATTTATTATTAATAATATTTATAATTGCATCAAATAACATGAGATAAGGCTTCACAAATCTTAAAACAAAATGTAGAAAATCATTATGAGCTAACACAGTAAATAACAGTGCATTAGTTATGTAATTGAATACTATATGTATAAGTTAATACATATTAAAATTGTATCCTATACGTTTCGAACGACTCGATTTAAATACATGCGCATTAATGTTTATTATTTATTGTGCAATTACAAAATAATTGAGACATTATTAATTACATTGACTCGTATAGGCCTTTTTTATGTTTCAATTTAAGTCAGAATTTTTTATTACTTTATTTTATCTTTTGTGCGCATAGTTCCCTCTTCTATGTGAAGAACGTAAAAAGAAACGTCCGGTTCCTGTAGTGCGACCATACAAGGGAGAAAATATAAATGTTGAAACAGTGGACAGAAATAGTGGCAGAGATGAATTGTTGTGGACAGAAATAGTGGCAGAGATGAGAGTTACTTGATCGGGTAATACAAAGAAGAAGAGCAGCTCAAAACAATCAACTTCAACGAATTATTGGGCGAGAACGTGGTCCAGTTTTAGAAAGAAACGAATAGGACATAAGGATATAAATTTTTATAGTCAAAATAATAAATAAAGGATATTAAAATAGCATATATAAAAATGTAATTCATTTATACCGCTACTTTAGTAATACATAAGTATATACATATATTTTAAATATTAAAAGGGTATAGAACCAGTATTCAAATGAACAAATTTAATTACAATAATAATATTACAAACGTTTCGACTTCGATCGGGTCTTTTTCAATGTACATAAAAATACATCATAAATAACGGTTAATTTGTAAAATTTTTAAGAAATAAATAAATTAATTGTAACATCATAATGTCGCAAACATAAACATATCATTTATATAAAAGATGTAAATTGTCCAATATCATAAATAACGTTTACATCTGTAAAATCTTAAAAAATGAATAAATTAATTGTAACATATCCTGATGTCGAAAGCATAATCTTGTCATTAATATGAAAAATATAAGTTGTCCAATTTAGATTTTGTCGAGGTTGCAAGTAAAAATATATCTAGGAAAAGATTTATGCAAAATGTGGATCCTAAAGTTATATACCAAGAACACATGTCATAATATGTAACAAAAAGTTTTTTACCTTGTTAGTTAATATAATAAATCTCGTGATGTTATTTCATTGCGTTGTGACTGCATTTTACAAGTTTAAATATATAATAAATTTAGATTTTGTCTCGAGGTTGCAAGTAAAAATATATCTAGGAAAAGATTTATGTAAAATGTGAATCCTAAAGTTATATGTAAAGAAACACCTGTCATAATATGTAGCAAAAAGTTTTTTACCTCGTCAGTTAATATAATAAATCCCGTGATATGTTATTTCATTGCGTTGCGACTGCATTTTATAAGTTTAAACTATTTTGCACTTATTTACGCGACCACTCTTAATCACATCAAGTAATGTAATGTACAGGCAGAATGTCGAGAGAAGACAGAAACCGTGACAAATTTAAGAAATGGAAAGGGAATGTATCATATTCGTATGTGTGTCGGGCAATAACTGTATCGTTTTGTCTGTTTATACCGCGTGTTTGTTTCTTAATGTGGACCATCTCAGAAATTAATCGTTTTCTGTAAGAAGGTTCTATATCCAATATTTTTACACTATTCCATTTGAAATGATGATTCGTTTCAATTCTGTGATTAGTAATTATCGAAGGGGATTTTTAACTTTTATTAATATAAGAGATGTTCATTTACTCTTGTTTTTAATTGTCTCTTAGTTTGACCTACATAGCTTACTTCGCAATTTTCACAAGATATTTTATAAACTACATTCTGATTCTTTATATGTTCTAGTTTATCTTTTCCCTTTTTTATGTAGTCTTTAAATGTGTTGGGAATGGTGTATGCCAATTTACAATTAACCACATTAGCTATAGGTTTAAATTTTTCATAAATAGAACTGACAAACGGAATAGCGAAAAATTTATTTGGCAAAATGTTATTATTATTCACATTAATATTATTAATATGGTATTTTATTCTATTCTGGATTGTCGAAAAAATAAATTGAAGAGGGTATCCATTGTTCAAAAATATATTAATGACATCAGTCAAATTATTCTGTTGTAAAGTTGGATGGAACAAGTGAACTATTTTAACTATAACACTATATATAACTTCTCTCTTATGACAGACCGAATGTTGAGATTGGAAATTAAGGAATCTGCCAGAAAAAGTGGCTTTACAGTAGTCATCAAATATCAAATTACATTCATTAACAATAATTAAAGTGTCCAAAAAACTCATTTTACCTTCCTTGCCAACTTCCATAGTAAACTGCAATCTTGTGTGTAATGAGTTAAAAATGTTTAAGGTGTCATTAATGCTTTCGGATGGGGCTGTTAAAATAATATCGTCAACGTACCAATAATAAAAAGATAACTGAACAGGCAATAATCCAATTGCAATTTCCTCGAAATCCTGCATGACCATGTTTGCTACTATAGGTGATAATGGGGATCCTATAGGAGTTCCAAAAATTTGTTTGTAAAATAAACATTAAAAATAAAAACTGTCGGGTTCAATATTAATCTAAAGACTATCATAAATTAGTGGTAATACTAGGGCGGTTCTAACCCATGGGGCTAGAGGGGAGTGCGGGGCGCGGCGGGTACTTGTTGGCGCGGCGGGTACTTGTTGGCGCGGGGGTGAAGGCGCGAGGGGTACTTGGGGTTCGCGGGGGGGGGGG